TGTGCCAGACGTTTGCTTGCTTTTTTTTCTTTTTTTTTTTTTTTCTTTTTTTCTTTTCAGTCCTAGAAGCAGTGTGACATAGTGGAAATTTGCAGGATGGTGAGGAAGGTGGGAGTGTTTTCCTAAGGCTGGGAATCTGTGGGAGGAGGGAGCAGAGGAAAGCTGCTCACCAGGGCACGGGTGCTGGGATGGGGACGGGGACAGGGATGGGAATGGGGATGGGGACGGGGACAGGAATGGGGATGGGGACAGGGATGGGGATGGCGATGTAGAGCAGTGGGGTTACAAGACAGTGGGGCTGCTTCAGCTGCTGTTGCCACTAAAAGAAATGGACTTTTATGGCCCAAGATGGGATCCTAATGGAAGATGGGTATCCAGTGTGAAGGTGCGGTTCTTCTTCCTGAGCTGATGGAATTCTGCTCTGCTGGGAAAGGGTCTCCAGCTGCTGAGTGCTGGTGGTGACATGGGGAATGGTAAGGGACAACCTGGCTGGGAGGCAGGAGGAGAGTGGGGCCATCCCTTCTGGCAACAGCAGGGATTTAGATTGTATCAAGAGCGGAATAGTTATGCTATCAAAAGCCTTCAAAGCACAAACTCTGTGATTAGGGTAAAGATGGAAAGAGAAATCACTGGTCAGAGACCTGTAGTTAACTCAGAAATGCTGGCATGTGTGAAGCCTGTAGTTGTAAGGGCTGGATGTGGCCGGGAGACATTGGTGAGTCATTTCACTGATCCACGGAGAGCAAGAAATCCAGATTACTAATGCAGCTGGTTAGTGATGACTAGAGTCAGAGCTATTGCCACTGGTAAGGTCAAGCCAGCCTGTTCAGTAGCCGTCTGTGCAACAGCTACAGCTTATGCGATTAGACAGAGCACGCTCGGATTTCTGAGAGTCTTGGTATAGGGCCATAAAAATAAAGAAAATTTATTGCTTCCCATTTAAGTAACAATATCATGGTTTAGAAACTAGTTTTCCAGCACAGGGTGGCTGGTGACAGTCAGACCAGCTGAAGAACAGCCTTAGTCCAGGTTGTAGAGAAGGTATGACCTACACTCGTGTTATTTTGTACAAAGAAATGGGTTATTTGGGACAGCCACCGACAGCCTGGCCGAAGGCGTGTGCTGAGCGGGGTCAGGAGCGCTGGGGCACCAGCCTGCAGGAGAGCCGAGCCAAGGGACGGGATGCTTCGGGGGATCAGGAGACGTGATGCAGCACACGGCTGCAGAAATAAACCTGCAAGCGGAGAGCCTCGGGTTCTGAGTGGGAACGTCTTGCGAGAGTTTCCAGTAAACGAGTGCAATTTGATCTGGTTGCTAAGAAAGCCGTTCACACTGATTTATGTAGAAAACGTAAAAAGTTAATGTCAAACTGACTCTGCCAGCATGAAAAGCCCTGGTCCAGGTGCACTCCCTCCTGGTCCAAGTGCGTTCGTTCCCTCCTTACCGCGTGCGTGCTGAGCCCAGAGCACCAGCAGACCGCAGAAGTGGGAGATTCCTGCCCAGTTCCCTCCAGGAGAGACAAAGGAAGGGGCTGGAGGGGCTGCTGGGGTGCCCCGCCGCGGTGTGTCCCAGCAGAGCATCCTGTCCCGTGGTAATGGCACATGAGCAGGTTTCAGAACTGCTTTAAATCTGGTGCAAATCATCCACCGCTTGCACACAGAGCTTGGAGCCTGGTTGCACACAATATATCCACAAATAATTGTACCTGTCGGACCAGGGCAGTAATTGTTGAAATGCTTGGGATGGTTGCGTGCAGCAAAACGATGTGGAGCAGAATAATTCACGTTTCAGAATGAGATCAGATTTAATTCATTTCAAAACGAGATCGCTGGAACCTGCTGCCTGGGTCTTGCTGTCCCTGCTCCAGGCTTTCCTCTGTGCTGAACTCTGGCCGTGACTGAACCCTGCAAAGGTTTCCCGGCAGGTTTCTTGTCCAGGCACCAGCCGGGCTGGGTGAGCTGGTCGGCTAGATCAGAGTCTGATGAGGAGTGTGCATTGCAGGTAAACAGTGAAGCTGTTCCTACAGATTTAGCGTAGCTGTGAAATATGTTTGCATCCTCAGAGGTAAGGAATGGTGCTTGAAGAAGCCCCAGGAAAAATACCAAGCAGTGCATTCAAATGATAAGTAGAACTGATAAGGTGCACGGTGAGAGCCCGAGAGAAGAATCAAGCGCAGATACCATCACAGCCTATAAATACTGTCGGGGTGACAGCACGGATGAGAAAAAGGAAGAGTATTTGTGATCTGCTGGGAAACAAGCGCTGGGGAGAGCAGTCAGCACAGCAGCAGGGCGGCGGAGGGGATCCCCAGGAGTGGTGGAGGGGATCCCCAGCTGTGGGTGATGCTTGTCAGCCCAGATGGAGGGAGGTGAGGTCTTGTGGGACGACAGCGAATACATCTGCAGTGTGCAGACCGTGAGATGGGCTGGAGAGCTGCACTGTCCTCGCCTCCCTCCGGGGTCCTGTGTGCACCAGCGGGGTCCCATGGGGGTCCACCCTGCTCCCGGTAAGGAGAGGTATTTGCTGTCACCTCCAGGATGTGGAGGGACGGTGTTTGGGGCGTGCATCGTTGTTCCTGTGGCGCTGGCAGGACATGGCAGTGGGAGGGGAGGTGGTGGTCCAGGGATGCCCTCAGGCAGGGGACCACTGCACCGAGCCCCACCTGGGATGCTCCCTGCGGCTGGCTGCAGCAGCCTCTGCTCCTCTGCCCTGCCTCCTCCTCGCAGCTCTCGCTGCCCGCGGGTGGGAATGCCGGATCTGCTCCTGCGTCCTGCCCAAGCCCTCCCAGTTTCCAGCCTGGGAGATGGAAATCTGAAACTGGGGCCGTGATGGAGGTGCGTCAGGAGCAGCCCTGGCCCTGCGGCTGCCTCCCCCCTGGGCTGAGCGTGGCTGTGAGCAAACTGTACCGCCAGTTAGCAAGGCAACCAAGGCGTGAAAACCCCGGGGAGGTGTAGGGGAAGGTGGCTGTGCATTGGGGATGTGGAAGCCTTGTCTTTGCACTGGGGACGTGGTGCTCAGCCCGAAGCGCTGCTGGAAGCTTTGCCATCCGTGGCAGCCACTGCTGGTTGCCTTCTTGGCTCTCCTTCAAAGCCCTTCATCCCCAAAGCTTGGCTGGGTGTCGCGGTGCCTGTCGGTGCCGTCAGCACTATACACACCATCCCCAGCGATGCGGGGATCACCCGTGGCACCTGTGGTCCCCATCCGGGGCTGGGACCTGGTACCGGAGCAGGATTCCCTGTGGGTCTCCTGGAGCTGAGCACGTTTCTGATGATGTCCTTTAAAAATACCGATTCCTGATGCATGACAGCTTAACAGAGGTGTTGAAATGAACTATCGCTCCATCTGGTACGCAGGATGTCCTCTGTGTCTGCCTGCGTTCGGGTGTGGCTGCCGTTGTGGCGTTATCACCCCCTGTCTCAGTCAGCTGTTTGTAGGACTCACTTTTTGGTTTTATAGTGTATCATTGGGGGTGAGTAGACTGGGGAGTCAGCAGGCTGGGCTGAGCCCTGCTGGAGCAGAGGATGGGTCTGGAGTGTTTCTGGGGATCCCCATGTCAGCCTGCTTTTAATAAGCGTGTAAAACTGCCGGTTGCACAGGTTGGGAAGGTGGGTGCTTCACTGCAGGGTTATTTAACAGCCTTGGTTTTGGCCTCTTTGTGTGCCTCCTGCAGGCTTTTTAACATGGAAGGTGGAACGGTAGTTCTGCTGGCGCTGGAGATGTACCAGCAGCAGGTGGGATGGACCATCGTCAGTGGCTTGTGGTCCTGAAGGGTTCCTTGGGGATAACTTGGCTGGGCTGGGAATGCAGAGCTGGAGACCAAGGGGTGCTGGAGATCCAGGGGTCCTGGAGACCAAGGGGTGCAGGAGATGCAGGGGTGCTGGAGACCAAGGGGTGCAGGAGATGCAGGGGTGCAGGAGATGAAGGGGTGCTGGAGACCAGCGGGTGCGGGAGATGCAGGGGTGCTGGAGACCGGGAGAGCAAGGGGTGCTGGAGACCAGGGGGTGCGGGAGATGCAGGGGTGCTGGAGACCAAGGGGTGCAGGAGATGCAGGGGTGCAGGAGATGCAGGGGTGCTGGAGACCAAGGGGTGCTCAGCACGTTTTTCATTCGGCCAGTTCACCTTGCTGCGTGCTGCTGGGCTGATAGGGAGGCTCTTCAGATTCGGTGTTTGCAGAGCTCTCCAGGTGTTCCTGGGTTCTCCGGGAAGCACGACAGTTATGCTGCACATCTAGAGACACAGCTCTTGGGAAAACTGCCTTGGGAGCCAGTAGCCAGCCTGTGCCGCCCTACCCGAGGCAGCCGATGTCTCAGCTTTTTTTTCAGCCGGCGCTAGTCATCTTCTGCCGGCTGCTGCTCCCCTCTCCTGGCTCCGTCCTACAGGCTGTCACCCAGCCTCAGGATTGTTATCTTGTCGTGTGTGAATAGCATCAACCTCTGGGTGGGCAGCACCCATCCGGGATCTGTGTTATCCAGATAAGGTTGCGCACGGTGACATTTAAAAACCTGAGTTGTGCCCCGCTGTTGAAATGAGATGAGATGGCCTTTTGGGGTCTCAGTTGGAGAGGACCGGCTGTCCGCAGTGCCCAGCCCGAGCTGCAGTGTGTGTTTCCCTTGGACGTGCCAGGGGGGCAGGCGGAGGG